ATAGGCGCCGAGCCCCAAATACTGTTCTTACCAGTGAAACCAGTAACTGTCTCCAGTGATCCACTCTTTGATACAGCTTCCTAGATGCTTCAAGCAAAGGTAAAAATAGAACACTTAAAAGTTCATTTCAACTTCGATAAAAAGTTTAAAGAATTACATACAAATAAGGTTTCAAAGAGTCTGTCATAGAGCTTGCTCACTTGGAACTGACACTCGTTCAAGGAGACACTGAGACATTTCTAAAATAACAACCCCCATTCAAACCTGTTGATAAGAACAGCTCCATTGTGTGTGAATGCAAAGTTTTGTCTACAAAAATGGCTGTGCCTTCTTATCTAGAATCAAGTCATTATAAGCTCAGGTTTTAAAAAATATATTTTCAAATCAAAGAAAGTTGAAGATATCGGCAGAACGCCAATAGCTCATTTGCATATTCGTGGAGAAAGGGAGACTTTCAACTCTAGTTACTTTGGCAAATAGAGGAAACAGGGCACTGTATTATCGGAGGCTTCACCCAAACTGTCCAAGGGTCACAGAACAGATCCAAGGCCAATTAGGTTGAGTGCAAAGACTTCAAACAGTGGGGGATGGTAAGAAGCTTGTCTCCTCTCTGTCTCTGGAAGGGTACCAACCTCATAACATTAGTACAGTTAATAACTCTCTGACCTTTAAAAGGCATTTTATGAGCAAATTAAGTCAATTAGTACAAAGCAATTTACATTTAAAAATTCCAACCACTTTATAACTGGGGGGGGGGGAAGCAGCTAAGTTCTTGCATCACCAATATCGAAATAGGCAATATTCACAGAGTTAGCTCACTTGGAACCAACAAAAGACACGCAAAATTCCCCACAGTGAAACACGAGCAACCTGGAACCTCTTCTCTTTGGTTTTACCTATTCATAGTAATTGTACTGAACTGTGCAGAAGCCTCCACCCCTTAAGGATGGTGGTGCTGCCATGGTGAAGGAGGAAGTTTGGGGGGAATGGTGAATCCAATATCCCTTCCTGAGTGGGAAAAAAGAGCACTCTGAGCATCTTGTCTTTTTCCTTTATTACTTTTCTGTTCACATATAAATGTCTATTTCCTACAATGAGCTGGACAGAGTGCTAGGTAATTTACACCCATTATGAATTTAGTTTTCATGGTAACTCTGCGAGACAGCTAGTATCCTTATTTTACAGATAAGAAACAGGCTTAGAAAGTTTTTAAGTGACTTGGAGCAGGTCACGGAATGCCTAGGCTGTGAAGCCAGGACACACCCAGATCTGCCTGATTATGGGACTAAATGGTTTTCATACCAAAGTGATTCCCTCGGCTCAGTGCCCGTAGGTTAGTGGTTTCGAGTCCGGCTGGGCCTGCTAAACGACAGCTACAATTTAAAAAAAAAATAGCCGGGTGTTGTGGCAGGTACCTGTAGTCCCAGTTACTCCTTGGGAGGCCAAGGCAAGAGAATCGCTTAAGCCCGGGAGTTGGAGGTTGCTGTGAGCTGTGACACCATAGTACTCTACAGAGGGTAACATAGTGAGACTCTGTGTCAAAAAAAAAAAGTACTACCTTGTCTTTCCACTTATTTTACTTTCTTCCTTCCACGTCTTTCCACCTCAAAGCCTAAACTGGCAGACAGATGGTTGTGTTAGAGGATTTTAAAGCAAGGAGGACTAACGTAGCACTCTTTCATACCTCTCCTAAAGGTTTGCATGGTTCTCTATTTCTCCACTCATGCCCTGGTCACCGGGACCCAAGACAACCCAGGACCGCTACACGTGTGCTCATGTTTCTATCTTTTTCTCTCCAATCTCTTCATGCAGTTTTTTAATTCCAAATAAGGGCAGATAGCCTGAGACCTTGTGTTTTGTTTAAGAGAACAAGGGAAAGGCATAGTTCACATCAGAACTAAAAAAGTACTTCCGGTGTTGAGGCGAGATAGTCTCAGAATAGGACTAGCTCAATATGGCCTTGGTGGTAGACTAATTGGAGGCTGATCGCACACGAAGAGTAACAAAGTTAGAGCAAATCCTTATCAGTGGAATTCAACAGGGTGGTCTTTCCGACAGATCTTTTTGTTACAGCCTTAATGGAGGCTTCCTGAACCTTGTGGAAAGTACTTGTTTAGATAGAAGGCCGGGGATTCCAAGAGACAAAGCAGTTAATTATGAGTTCTAATCCTAGGCTAGAAGATGCCCATAAAGATTAAAACTTGTTTCCTTTTTGCTAACAATTAGTAGCCTAGCTAAAGAATGATCAATTGTAATTGGGGAACTGAAGAACTGGGGAACTAAAGGCATTACTGAGACCAGTCGTTTTACAGAGCTATTTTATTTAATCCTTAAATTCTGCAAGTTGTAAATTACTCATTAGAAGGCAGAAAGTAAAACAGCCATAATCCGTTTAGTGCCTCCAAACTCTGAAGACTTAGCGGAGGAAATCTATGGAAACAAGAGGCCTGATGTGTTCTTTCAGTGCTGTCTTAAAGGGTGAAGGTGGTTAAACAATAAGGAAAAGCCCATGCAATTATCCTGATGCGCTGGTCCATAGGTCAGGGGTATACTGATTAAATTCATGGAAGGCTGACTCACAAATGGTGGGAAAATGCCCCTTCTTTTCCACTCAGCCCTGCAGGCAGCTAATGAATGTGCACGTCTCACTTCCAGATTGTTTCAGGAGTCCAGAGCAATTGCCTATCACATTCATTAGGACATTCACTCACATCTGTTGTTGTCTAATCAGTGCAGAGGCCAGAGCAAGAAGCCAAGTATCAGAGAGGAATTAAGAAGGGGCCTAGAGGAGGCTGTCCCTCTCTTCACACGTAGGGAATGCAGCTCCCAACTACAAAATACTCAACTGCAAAAACAAGTAGACGATTAGTTCATAGCTTTCTTTACATGCATAAAAAGCTCCATATATTTAGGTGGAATATGGATTTTACAAGCTTAATGTGAACATGCTTAGTCTTTTATTTAAGACAATGTTTTTTGTACACAACAAGGGTAAAATTCAAGTTTAGACTTTTAGGGGTAATGATGCAGACAATATGCAAGTTGCTTTGGACCCTGGCACTGTGGATGAGTTTTGGGAGGTGAATTTGAATCTGTACCTATTTTCTTTTTCATCATTGTATCATCCTGAATATATATAAAACACAGCTTCTCTCCATCAGGCTATATACAAAAACACAGCTACTGGCTCACTTCAGCACTGAAGCAAGCATTTTGTTCATACCTCCTTGCCTTTCCCCTTATAACCAATGGCACATCTCTAAATAATGATGGTAGGGTCAGACTATGAAATGGAGCTTTGCTCTTTGCAGGGCTAAGCAGACTATGTGAGAATCAAACCTCTGATTTTGCAGTAGCAAACTGAGTTATCTAACTCAAACTCTTTCCATTTACTTTCCACTTGACAAGCTAATTAAATTTGTGATTTCACCAGGCCAGCGCTGTATCTCTGCATTCCACTCAATACCCACCGAACTGTTGCTGCTCAACAATCATTACTGATAACAAAGAAAATCCAATTTAAAAAGTATGGCTGTTCTGGACATGCACATATTTGCTAAAGTAATTATAAAGCAAATGTTTCCCAGATAGATTATTTAACCACAGCATGATAAAAAAAATACTCTTTCTTCCCACATCTCCCCTTTTTCCCCCTCAAAGAAAGCTACATTTAGTTTACACTAAAAAGATATCCTCAGGAATTTTAAATATCCCTTGCATTAGAAATACTGATATCAATGCACTTTAGAAAACTACTGAGACATCATAAGATGAACATTTTTAAAGAAAAATATTTTATTTCTTTAGAGACAGAGTCTTACTTTGTTGCCCTAGGTAGAGTGCCGTGGCGTTACAGCTCACAGCAACCTCCAGCTTTTGGGCCTAGGCAATTCTCTTGCCTCAGCCTCCCGAGTAGCTGGGACTACAGGCGCCCGCCAAAACGCCCGGCTATTTTTGTTGTTGTTGTTGCAGTTTGGCTGGGGCTGGGTCTGAACCTGCCACCCTCAGTATATGGGGCTGGCGCCCTACTCACTGAGCCACAGGCACCACCCCATAAGATGAACTTTCAAAAGCTTAAAGTAATTTTGAAAATTGGTGCTTCTATGTTACTTGCACCAGAAAAGAGCCTATTCTGGTCAGTTTTGGTGGATGCGAGAAATGACATTTGGTCTTTTCCCTTCCCTTTAAATAAAGTACCTGACTTACCCTGAGTGGATTTTCATTAAGGTAAGGGGGTTCACCTTCCACCATTTCAATTGCCATAATTCCCAGAGACCAAATATCAACTTTCGGACCATAAGCTTTTCGAGTCACCACCTCTGGTGCCATCCAATAAGGGGTTCCCACCATCGTGCTCCGTTTACTTTGCTCAGGAGTGATCTGGGCACAGAACCCAAAATCAGCTGCAGAGAAGAAAAATCAGTTAAAATACACCCAAATTATTTTCTTTTTACAAAAGGTCAGATACGATTGTACTTTGTTATCTGCTGAACTTCCATAACTGCCTAGCTAGTATCCTTTTATTATCTGATGTCTCAGGTGGTCCTGATTTTAAAAAGGATTTGAAATAATTGGGCTCGGCACCTGTAGTCCTAGCTACTTGGGAGGCTGAGGCAAGAGAATTGATTAAGCCCAAGAGTTTGAGGTTGCTGTCAGCTATAATGCCACATCACTCTCCTGAAGGCAACATAGTGATACTCTGTCTCAAAAAAAAAAATGAAATAATTGACTAATGTGATGTCATTTTTAGTAGACTTCAATCTAGTCCCCCTCATTACTGTTCCCTCAAAATTACAGACTCTTCCAGTTTTCTAATTAGCTATACATCCATTCTAGAGGTCACTAGACATTCTTAAATAGTAAATCCAAAACATTTGGTTATAGTCTATAAGAACATAGTGTTAGAAAAATTCTTTAGTGCAACCTGGGCTTTCAAATCAATCACGTTCAGCAGCCATTATGTTTTCAAGCTAAACAATAAAAGAGTAGAAATTCCCTGATACTCTCAAAACACCATCTCAACGAAAATACCTACTCAATTTAACAGAGCCATCCATCCCGAGGAGAATATTGTCACTCTTTATGTCTCTATGGATCACTTGGTTTGAGTGCAAGAAATCCAAAGCTTGGAGGCACTATTGAATCAGAAAACAAGGTCTCATTATACCACAAAGAACGTTTTTAAGATTGTTAAGTTTCATTTCTAGATAAACTGGGGGCAAGGGTATAGTTTTTGGTGGTCCAGTAAAATACATCACTGAATGCTTTAACACCACTCTGAAACCACTTTACCAATGATAGCAGTGATGCTACTTAGCATTATATACGCTAAGCTACAAGGGCTCCTGTGGTAGACTAGGACACGAAGAGCGGTGATGTGATGAGCAGCACTAATCACGAATACTGTCAAAGTAACTGATGAATATAACCGCATTTTGGCCTAGTTATGAAGAAGATATGTATTCAGCCTGGTCTTTTACAGATGTAGCAAACTTCTATATACATGGTATGATTTGATTCAGAAGGTCTGCAATGGGACCCAGGCTATGAAGGCTCCTGGGCTAGGAAGTAACTATAGGCACGTATTTTGAAATGCCTTAGTATTATAATTTTAGAAGATAGAAACCATAAACTCAGGGAAGAATGTTCCCCAGAATGATGATAAGTTTGATTTATTGCATGAATAGAAAACCTGTGTGTTTGGTGGCGATGAGTGCGTTTGGGGTAGAGGAAATGGGAATGAGAACAGAGCAAGGAGTAAATTTAAGTGAACAAAAAGTTTAATACAAAAAGCCAAGCTTAGCTGATATCACATAGTTTTGTTTCCCTCTCATTCATTTTCAAGTTTCAGTGAGTCAGAGTTCCTACTTCCATCTGTAGAAAATCTCACCACAATGAATGGGATTGATAAGACTCCAATGAAGAGTATATGTTTTTTAAATATCAAACAAAATAAATACAATAATATTCCTTTAATTTAGCTCGCTATGAGGGGTATGACACCGTTATTGGAAAACAGACTGACCCGCAGGTCCCCTGAAGGACTATGAGGTATGTTCAGATTGTACTGTGAAAGCAACTCATTCCTGGTTTGAGGGAGGACCTTATTTAAATTGCCTTTTAGAAAATTATGAGACTATACTGTGGCCCGTATTTGACGTCAAATAGAGCACATGAGACAAAATAATCGTAATGTAAAAATTCCTGCAAATCAGGAAAAAAGTTCCATGCCAACATCATTGTTTTTACATATTCACTGAAACTACAGCATGGGGGCTTAAGATATGATACCTCACGAATGGCATAACAGAATTCAACATCCATGAAAAAGCGACTAAAATAAAAAAGAGACGGAAGGGATGGCACAGGGGAATGCTATTAGGTTCAGATTTAAATTGAGGTTAGACTCGCCAATATTTTTTTCTTCAGCAGAAAAGTTCCACTCTTGTTACTTCGTTACAAACATTCTCAATAATCAGAAATCAAGAACTGCCAATTTGGGTGCTCTTATTAGCCAGAAATGCTCTATTTTCTTACCTCTCTGCAGACAGCTGCTATCTGTCCTTCATCCATACAGGTTTCTGTGACCACATCAATCAATGAGCCACCAGCCAAGTATTCCATGACTACCCATAGTTCATCACCCACTAAGTAGCTATAACAATAAAAAACAAGACTTTGACTTGGGACTAAGGAAGTGAAGACTCTATCATTCCCAGGCCTCAGCTCTGACAGAGGTAAATTGTGAGTTTGTGCCATGCCCATTAGCTTTAAGAATCGATTGGGGAACATACCCCAAGTGATCAAATATGGAGACAAGGTCACCAGAGCAATGCAGGCAAAGAAAGCATGAGGTTATTCAAATCGCGTAGGATCATTGGAAGGCACTTTAGCAGGGTTATAAGATCTGTCTGGCTCCCTGGCTTACCAACAGAGAGGAAATACAGGAAATGGAACAACCATAACACTTCTACCCTGTCCTAAGGGCCCATGTCAATGTGAAGCAAGACTTTCTGTCTCGTGGTATTCAAACTGCAGTGTCCATAAGATTCCCCTGGGAAGACTGTTCAAAATGAAAATTCGCAGACCCCATTTCATTAGTTATGGAGACTTGCCTAGAAATCATCATTTTTTTTTTTTACAAGAGAAATTACAAACACAGAGTGGCTTCAGGTCACTGTGCTGTAGGTGGTTCCTAAATGACAATAAAACACTCATCAAAATAAGAGTCAACCCTTTTTTTCCCCCCTTCTTCTGCATCATGGTCTACCTAGTCCGAAATACAGAAAGCAAGATCTTAAGCTAGCTGAGGTTGAAGACTTAGCTTTATTTCCTTTGTATACCCCCAGAGAACACAGCACAGGGGTGCTAAACAAACACTTACAGAAATTGAATGAGACAGATGTTAACCACAAATGAAGAGTTAGTGCTGTCTTTAAATGTGTATTTATGACACATTGTTAATACCACTGATGAAAGAGACATTAATTACCTGGTTTAGGAGAAAGGTTAGAGATTAAAGTCTCAATTCCCTAGACCTCACTGTCAGTTAATCACAAAGCACCCATTAAAGCAGGACCATTGTACTCAGCCTTCTTCACTTAGACTCCCAAGGACTGTGCTGGCTCCAAATGAACACTTGACAAAATGCTTAAAACACCACTGCTCTTTCTTACATGCGATCGTCTATTTATTTCCTGCCAACAAGGAGCCACGATCCTCAAAAGGAAATTACACAAACTGCTTATGTTTGAACAAAGACCATAAAAGGTTTCTTCGAGGGTTTGATGGGTGGACCAAGGTACGAGGGTGACAGTTTAGCAACAGATCTAATACTTTACGTCTCTGTAGCACTTGGGAAATACATGTAGATTGATTATTACATGCATAAATCTGAAATAAAGTAACATGCCATGAAAATGACATCCCATAAAGTTCACAGTAAGACAAACCACTTACCTATCTAAATAATTAACAATATTGGGGTTCTTATTTTCCCTCATGACTAGGATTTCATTAATAATTAATTCTTTTTTTGGTTGCTGTTGAAGGTTCATCTGCTTTATGGCCACCTGAATGACAAAGTATAAGAATGAATTAAAATGGTTACAAGAAATATAAACATCCGTATTTTGGGGGACACAGAATAAGGCATCCGAATTCTTTATCTACCGAGCTCTTTCTCTATGCCACAAGCCCATGCCGTTTTTCTTTGATCAATCCTGAGTAAATGACCCACATCGGATGCTTTACCCAGTGCCACACCCATTTTGGCTGGCACAGATGCCATCAAAGAAGAAATCTGATAAATATGAAGAAAGGAAAACAAAAGTCAGGATCGAATGTTCGCACTTACCTCTTGTCCTGTTGCAATGTCTAGTGCTGTATAAACAGTACCTGACGCCCTGTGAAGGTGAAAATTATCAAATGAATAAGTAATCAAGGTGTTACAAATACATTTCCCTTGAAATAAAATGTAATTATTTTCTTGACAGAAACACTTAGCAAACTCAAGATTGAAGTAAAAAGGAAAAACCTTTCAAATAAATTATCGTTTGTGGCAAGCACACTTAATGAGGTCTAGCCTCTTAACAATTTTTTTAAGTGCGCAATAGTCAAACAATCCTTTTATGCAGAAATTGCACCTGAAACAAACATAACGTATCCCTTGTGGTGATCTAGGAACTCCAGGCCGACTTTCTGCCACTCATGAATGTGTCATGCACAATGCAGTAATGAATTTAGCAAAATGGCTTTGCTCCTACGAGGGAATTTCTGGATCTTCTGAAAATTCCTTGGGTCTCATGGCAAGCAAGACTGAAGACCTCTGGCTAGACTGAAGCATAATTTGGGAAAGAATATATAATCTTTTGCTCAGTCAAGTGTAATTTAACCTTCACCTTTAGCACAGAAAGGGAGAAGCTCTTTTTACAGATTTCAAAATTCTTAAGAATATCTTCAACGAACAAATCACTCTCACGGCTGTATCTGCATTATGGCTACACAAAGCAACAACAATACGGCTTTACTATTTGAGCCATGGTTTTTCCTTTTTGCTGTATTTCTCAATGACTTCTACTATGCGATGTCATTCAGCCAAATATCTTTTTAAAATCCCATTCCTTAGGACATAGTAGCCCTTACATTGTCATTCTCATTTCAATTACGGTATTCCCTTGCTTTGCAAATACAAATCACATAAAAACTTAATTTGCAGTAAGTTTTTTTTTTTTTTTTTTTGGGTAGAAGGGCCAGACGGTAGTTTTTATTTATTTCTTTTTCTTTTTTTTTTAAATTAAATCATAGCTGTGTATAT